ACTATCTATTGAACAAGTAGAGCACCTCATATGGGACACAGTTTGCTGTAAAAACAACAGGGAAAAGGGTTCAGAGTAGCAGAGCAGAGTTTTTTGACAACACAGATGAGTCCTAGTTAAGAGGAAAATCTGGAGTTTTGTGTTTTTCTTTATTTTTTTATCCCTTTTTGGCAAAGAAGAATGCCCAAAACTCCCCCTTCACTTTGTGAGCATGGCTGTTTATGCTGCATTCAAGGGATAAGGGAATATTTGCTGGAACATGTTTGTAGTGACAGAGCATTCAAACTCATCTGAGTTCATAACCACCATGATTAGTGTTACTGCAAGTGATAAGTTAATTAAAGTCCTCCTAAAAAATGTTTTTTCTTCTGCAGTGTGCTTTTTCAATGCTGTCTGTGCAGAGTTTGACACTGGGATGATTTCACAGTCATCTGCTGAAAGTGCAAAGTTTCTCTGTGCTCACTGAAAATCTGATATTAAGGGGCGGGGCCTATGAGCATGATTTGTAACACCTGTCCATCCTGCCACCAGTGCACATACACTGAGAAAGGACTTGACAGGAGACATCTTGGACTCAGTAGGAAAATGTAATACATTTTATTTATAGGTCCTGGAATTTTTAATAAGGTATTATGGAATAGATGCCCTTTTAAGGATTTTATACTTCATATACATCAGACACAAATTATTGTTCCAAGCAGATTATTTGTATATGTTTGGTCTGTTAAAAGAAGGATCTTTAAGTACTATTAGAAGGAGATAAATCCTTAAAAATACATACAATGGCTCTATAAAAACATTAATCAGATAACCATAATGATCAAATATATTCTAGAAACACACACACAAAGAGTCCAAACCCCTTTAGCAAAACCTTGTATTGAACTGTAGTCATCGAGTGAGGAAGCTCACCTCTGCGCAGAAGTATTTAGCCATGCAGGCCTCCTTAATAAAAGGTCTCCCGGCTTCCTTCAGACGAGCGGCGTTGTATGTCAGCAGACGAGCAGCCTCAATCTGTGTTGCTACGTGCGCTATTTGGTGCTGCATACCCTGGAATACAAAGCATAACCATAACAACATCATTGAACACACCGGCCTCCACAATAATGTCAATAATCACAAACATGTCATCTAAAGGGAATGGATTTCGGATCTTCACCTGGAAGTCAAAGATACGTTTTCCAAACTGCACCCTCTGTCTGGTGTAAGGAATAGTGTTGTCAAAGCAACCCTGCGCCAGCCCAAGCATCTGAAACACACACAAAGTTAGCACATGCAACATGTCCATTTTACATGTTCTAATACTGAATAAAGCACGTTTAGCTTGTTTTAAAGAATTTAAATGAAAGTCTACCTGAGCAGCAATTCCAATCCTGCCCTCGTTCAACATTCCGATGGCATACTTGTACCCATGACCGATCTGTCCCAAAATGTTCTTCTCTGGTACCTACGACGGAGAGCACAAAGTTAGTAAAAGCCACTGTATGTGGTTGTTTCACATTGGTCCGGTACAGTACGAGGCGTTTGGTGGCACCTTGACATTGTCGAAGTTGAGCGGGCAGGTGGAAGATGCACGCAGACCGAGCTTGTTCTCCTTCTTGCAAATCTCCAGCCCCTCCGTGTCCCGGTCCACGATGAAGCAGGTGATGCCTCTGTAGCCCTGTCAATCAAAAGTCACATTGTGTTTACAGTACAGAGGCACACATTTCCTCAAAAGGATGTTACCCTCTGTTGCACACCATGTTCATTGTGACGTAAGATGATACGGTTAGGTGTTTTTACATTAAAGTCACAGTTACAATTCACTCACAGCCGATGGGTCCACATTGGCCATCACCAGGAAAACACCTGCATGCTCCGCGTTGCTGATCCACATCTTGGATCCGTTGATTATGTAATAGTCTTTATGTTTTTCAGCACGCGTCTTCAGAGCAAAAGCATCGCTCCCTGCTTCTGCTTCAGAGAGGCAGAAGCTTCCAATCTGTGTGACATGATACAGGCATATAGTAAATACAGTGCACAATATATCTTACGTCGTCGGCCATTTAACAGCATCTTTCTGTCATAGCTGTCTTCGTCTTTCACTTCCAATGAGGAGCACGTGATTGGATCTGTGCCACAGTAGCCATGTAGTCTTTTATCACACTGGGAGACAGAATGTCAAATGTCAAATGGCTCACCATGTCGGTTGACAGTCGGCTGAGGTACCGCTCTTTCTGAGCTGGCGTACCCAGTTTAACAAACAGCGTGTTGATCAGTGTGGTCTTGATGTCACAGAGCACGGCCACAGAGGGGTCCACCTTCGCCAGCTCCTCGATGACCAGAATGGAGGAGAAGAATGTGGAGCCAGTGCCGCCGTACTCTGGGTCAATCTCTACGCCCATGAGCTGCAAAACAAATTCAACATCAGATTCACTGGATAGAAAGGAAAGACTGGAAATGACACAACTAAATGAATCACATACACCCTGCTCGAAGAGAGATTTGATCACTTCCTCATCCATGGCCGAATTCTCATCCATCTTCGACACAAACGGAGCAATGCGCTCTTGTGCATACTTTTTCACTGTCAAACAACAAGACAGATGTTTAGTGGTTTGAGGAATTCCTACATCCAGCTGTCAGCAGCTGTAGGACACATCTTACCAGCTCACCTGCTTCCCTCATCATGTTCTCCTCCTCTGAATATGTCTGGAGGGGAGGAAAGGATCCCATCCCAGCTGCCTGGTCTGAAGCCTGGTCTGGGACAGGTCTGTTGGACATGCTCCTCCATCCAGCCTGGCATGCACCCCATGGTCGAGAGATCTGTCTGCAAGACTGAAAAGCAGGAGGACAGACAACCGTGGGAATCTGCGTGTCTGGGTAAATACACAGTTTGAAAAAGAGTGCTCGACAGTCATATGGCTAGAATTCACCATGAATGATAAGTTAATGAATTACACGTGTCTTTTAGTCACCAGCTCCAGTGCGTTTACTTCCAGCCGAGTTTGTGCTTTCAGGCTGGCGTTAGCCGTCTGTTAGCTAGTCATGTCACTACAGCGAGAGGCAGCCGGGTTACGTAATTCAAGGATACATGATTTATACGGAGTACCGTGTATGTAAATCAGTGCAGACACCCAGCAAATATAAATGACTGGGAGCATAATGTTCGGACTCACCTTTGAGAGAATCCTGACCAACGGGGCAGCCATGATTTGTTACAAAATGTTTACATGTGATGCTGCTTTCAGGTGCCCCTTGTCAGAGTCAGACAGGCGAGTTTTTAGTTTTTTTTTGTTGTATTAGCCACTGACATGTATAAGGTATTAGCGTTAATGATACAATTGCGTAAGCGCAAAGCAAATTGAAGCTGCCCGGCATGCCGCTCTTTATCAGTAAGTTTAAACAAAAAGAAACGTATTAAGACATTTTATTGTGAACTGCATTTTTGTGTATACTTACAGATTAAGCCATATTTTTAATTACACGAAAAGGAAGAACTATTGCTTTTTGTTATAAGATAGAGAAAATCAGACAATAATACCACTCATTACTTAAAACCACTACTTTTGTGAAATTAAGAGCTCTTTTTCCCGACCGTCACCGAAGGCAACAGTTGCGTTTGCGGGGGACACGGAACACAGACGCATCAGGAAAAACCGAAAGCGTTCACCTGGTAACAATTCTAGCCGAATAATTTATCCCCAGAGCCCAATTTTCACACTTCTCTCTGCTTAACGACATTGTTACTCAAACGCTGAATAGGAGGATATGAACTGAGTTTAGGATGGTGTTTGGTAGTCGGTGTTAAGGCTCGAGCAAGCTAGGCAACGTTAGCATTGCTGTTTGTAGCTACGAGCTAACCTTTAAGATGTTTTATATGCATTTACGTCAGCTACTGTAGGTCATCAGCAGTCACATGTGAAAACAGAGTTGTCACACTGACCTGTCTTCTCTGGCTCTCTTTTAGGCTCAGTACAAAGAGCAACATGGAAGAGATAAAGACCGAACCTGTGGATTTTGTGAGGGAATTTCAAGAATACCTGACACAGCAAACCCAGCATGTCAACATGATCTCGGGCTCTGTTTGCGGAGAAAAGGAGTCAGGGGAGCCGTTTCAAGCCGGTGGGAAAGGGAGTACAATAAACTATACAGTAATACATCTTTTATAACAGAATAACATCTTAAAGTCGTTGTGCGTTTGGTTGTAGTTGTCCCCAGGAGTGAGCAGAATGGTCTGGACCCTCCGTCGGTGGAGGTGAGCCTGTCAATGGAGGATGGCTCAGATGTACAGATGGAAGGCCTGGAGAGGACCTGCGATGGAAAGTACAAGTGCAGCTACTGCAGCTATGCCAACAAGGGCATGGCTCGTTTAATAGAGCACATCCGCATCCACACAGGTCAGTATTTCCACTGAATCCATTCACTAATGCAACAGCAAGTATGGAAAAACTTTGAAAACAGTGCAGGTAATCCAAACATAACAATACCTGTTGTATAGTATGTGTTATATACAAGGAAGGGCAAAAGGAAACATTTATAAACTACACAATTTCCACTACTATGTTATAACTGTATCATATATATCATCATCCAGTAATTTCCCCCTGGGATTATTAAAGTATTTCTGATTCTGATCCACATGTCGCTTTTCTCACATAAGGTGTAGACAGTGCTGTTAAGACCCCCATTTGCAGATCCCAGAGTCTTATCAAATGCAAAATCCTGTCCAAATCTGAGACTGCTTTAAGAGAATACATGACAGTGTTTTGGAAATACCTTTTATAGGTTACACATATTTTTAAAAGCAAGACTGAACGCTGGTGTGCGGTTAATGAATTCCCAAAAAAGCCAGCTATCCTGCTTTTAATGTTTCATCACAAGTGTAAATTGTTTGTTAGTATTATCATGTCATACAATGTATCCTATGATATTACATTGTTAATCATAGCAAGCAGGTGTCTAATTAACAATACAAAGTAATTAGTAAGTCACATATTATGTCAGAATGACTTAAAACTCTTGAGAATGTCTGCTGACATAGATTTACTAATAACCTACATTAACTAGATAATTAAGGCTAAAATATTGGAAGATCTTCTTGCTTTCCCTTTTTGTCTATATCATCTCACCCCATTTTTTATAACCCTTTATGCATTACGCATACGACATTGTACTTAAAGCCTCACCACTGTTTATAAATGCAAGTATTCCCTCTCCTGATTGTCACCCAGGAGAAAAGCCCCACCGCTGTCAGCTGTGCCCGTTTGCTTCAGCGTACGAGCGCCACTTGGAAGCCCACATGCGCTCGCACACGGGAGAGAAGCCGTACAAGTGTGACCTCTGCGCCTTCTGCTGTAGCGACCGCAGCAACCTGTCACACCACCGCCGCCGCCGCCACAAACTTCTGCCGACGAGAGTCACCCGCTCTCCTTTCACCAACAAGAGGATGTTGAGCTCCCTGCAGAAGAGGACAGGTTCACTGGGCTACAGCAGGCGACTGCTCATCAACTTCAACCCTTCCTCTGTGGGATTGCCAAAGTCAGATTATCTGAATGACTTGTCACACAAGATCCACCACCATTTGAACAGCAGTGAGTACAAGAACCTTCCCAAGGTGGATGAGAACGACAGTCGTAACAGAGGTGCTAATGGTTTGACTTTTAATAATCCGCTGGATCAGCTGTCTACACTTGCTGGCCAGTTGGCCGAGCTTCACCCGGAGTCTCAGACTCCTGCAACCCCGGACAGGGAGTCCTTAACAGACGAGAAGCCCATCCTCATAAGACAGGTCTCTAGTGAACACGTTGCGATGTGTTCAAACGGAGTGCAGACTTCACCGGCTAAAAGAGAATCTCCCCCCTCAGGTCCTGGGAGTTGCAGTCCTGTTCCCGGCCTCGGCTTTGAGAACAGCGTGAACGCTCTCGCTGCGAGTGTTAGCAACAGCCAGCCGAGCACACCCACCCCTGCCCTGAACACACCGGACCAACAGCTCTTGCATAAATGCCAGCATTGTGATATTGACTTTCTGGATAATATCCTCTACACCATCCATATGGGCTGCCATGGCTACGAACATCCGTTCCAGTGCAACATCTGTGGTCACATGTGCGTGGACAGATATGACTTTGCATGCCATTTTGCCCGTGGACAACATAAAAAGTGATTCCTTGCAACATAGAGGCATATGGAGTCTTAGATCCTGGTGTTTTCAGTATAATGCTTGGGGGGGGACACTGATTTACATTTTATATTTTTTCATGTACAGTTTACTATTCTTTTTTTATTTTATACTCACTAACTGCACTATATTCCATATTAGGTTTAGATCGATACATACAAAGGGTGGACAAAACAACGTCTTGCAATATAACAGCTCTGCAGTAAAAACGCAAAGTGAAGCTCACAAAGTGTCTTTTCAGATCGTCCTGCATTCAGTATTAGTTAGGACAGGAGTTCCCAAACTTTCTTATGTCAAGGACCAATACAGTAGATACACATTAAACCATGGACCCCCAATTTGACATGCTTTTGTCCCCTCTGATTGCCTTTATTTTTAAGTTTGAAGATAATTAAATATTGGCATTAGTTTGGCATATTATGGAGATTTTTGGGATTGGCCATGTCTTATTGCTTTGCAGTGAGTCAGCAGTCTTTCACTCAGCTCCTATAGGAAACCACCATTACCAGAGCACCGGTATTCAAACATGAGCTTCACCAGTTCAGTATTCATTGTGGGGCTGCTAAACTGTACTTTTTTCCACCATCTGTATATCGCTTGTTAGTCTACACCAAAGTTTCTATCTCAGTTAAATCAGCTGGACACATTTCGATGTGAGAAACTGAAGTGGACTGTTTAAAACATGTTTGTGTCCAGACAGACTCATTATAATCCTGCTCACTTTTCTGATATTCATACCTCACTCCACAGACTCTAGGTGTCAACCAAATCAGTGAGTAATATTTTAGATAGGTTTGAATATTGTTTTTCCATCTTTTTTGTTACTCATTTATACTAATGAAATGTTTTTCTACAATATTTATAAACTGTCTTACTTACTTACAAGTACTTTTGTGATATTGTACATGCCATTTTTTATAGCACAAAATCTATTATTCTTTAGCTCTTTCTTATTTGTATGGTAGGATGTTGAGACACTGTAAAATTCCCTGTGACTCTAAGATGTAATTTTTCTTTGAATTAGTTTGGTGATGATGTGATTATCTAATTATGGAGAAAAAGTAAGCAAGCAGAGATCATGTAGATGACCGCTGGTGTCTATCACTGTACCTTCAATTTAAATACATTTTGGGGATTTTGGCTTTTAAAAATAATATTTGTGAGGGTTTATAATTACAGGATTAAAATGATAGGATAGGTATGCATTATCTGTGTTTTGCTTAGTGTCACGATGGTCCACAAATTGAAGAGGACACGATTAAATTTGCCTTTGAAAATTCAGAAAAGATCATTTATTTTCATTGATGATTCTCAACAGGATGCCTTTTCTTTCATGATCAAAAATGTCCACCGCTCTTTTCACCACGCGTTCTACATCAATGTCCTCTTCTTGAGTGAAAGACGCTCCCTGAAGCATCTGTCTCCGCAGGTTGTGAAGAAATGCTGCTTTGGATTCGTTCAGCTGAGCGGCCAAAGACCTCATGTGCTCAGGGGGTACTTGATTTTCTAAAGTTAAGGTGACAAAAGGATCATTATGTTGGGCTGTAAAATACAAAGTGAGTACAACGTCAAATGTGTCACATTAACGAAGCCTACGACTGACCTCTGGCAGTCTTCATGGCTTCAGAGATAAGGCGTCGACAGGCCTGGTCAGCCTGGTGAACCACACTCGTGGCACATTTCAGGCGGTCAGCCTCCTGCAACAGTATCAGACCACAACACGGATAAATTCTCCACTCACTGCATGTTTAAAATCCACTATTAACAGATTTGATGGGAGCTACGCTGACACACCGTTTGTTCAGTGTTGTCCACATGTGGGATCAGCGGGTTGCTCAGTGCAGAGGAGATCAACTCCATCACCCTCTGGCTGAGGGGAAGCCATACAAGAAGAGAAACAGACGGAGGCAACAAATGAAAACCTGACGTGTGAACTTCAGTAATAAGTGTTGATTACTAGTTTATTCTGCTGTCTTACATGTCACATTTGGACAGATTGTCTTTAGTGTTGAGTGAAATGCTGTTTGTCTCCCATGGGTTCTTCTGTGGATTTGGAGGCTCCAAACGCTTCACCATCTCCAGTATCACCTCAGTGGGAATGGGTTCAGACCTGCTCTGGTTTCTGCTGATGCAGGACTCCAGATTACACTCCAGATACACCTGGCAGAAACCCAGCGAATCTAAAGAAAAATTAATTCAATTCAAGGAACACAATTTAAAAAGCATACTAGTGGTTTTGTGTGTTTTCTTCAGCATACTAAAACAAATTAACTTGCAGAATCTTATCCTAATCACATCATTGTTAACATTTGTGTTCTTTGTGTTGCAAAACTATAGTTTTAAAATATTCACTGGTGCATTCAGGTGCTTGCAGTAGGCTCCAATCTTCCCAGATTTAATAGTTTGATTCTTTTGAGGTATGAGATCAATATAAAATATACAACATTTGTACTTAATGGGTTAAACTGTGCAAATGTACCAGTATGGAACATTAGTATATCAACAGTCAAGTTAGTGGACTATGCTGTAGACAGAAAACCCAGTGCTCACACTTTCTTGCAAGTTGGTACACTTCATATCTCATGCTTGGATAGTAGAAGTTGTCATCCAGTAGAAAGAGAAGTGGTTCCCGCTCAGCCTGAGAGCGGTCCAAAGCTTCAGGCTGCAGTAGAGCTCGAATGCACTGTTCCCATGCAGCCCTGTCGATTTGACAGCTGCTCGGCAGCTCCGTTAAAACTTGAGGTTTCTCCAAGAACTGCTCAATGCACCGCAAAACTGCTTGTCTGTGTAACTTCCATTCAGTGTGCTAGACAGGGGGAAAAAGTTATCCAATTAATAAAACATTTCTTAAGCTCCTAAAGCCCAAGCTCACATATTCAGATTGCTTGTTTTGTCTGACCAATAGCCAAAACCCCAAAGGTATCCCATTAAATATCATAGAAAACTAAGGAAATAATAAATAATCATATATAAGAAGCTGGACCCAGTGATGTTTTTGGGAGGAATTTTTAAAATTTAACCTTTTAAAATCTTTTAACTTACATGATTAATCGATAAACCAAATTAATTGTTTTCAGCTCTATACTTACTGTACTTTTCCCCTCTCCTTAAATAATCCTAACATAACATTCTCACAATACAATTATTGATACTCTTCATAGTACAACTCCCAATGTTATTAACGTTGTATTGGTAGTTCCCAATTTAATATAACTAAATGGGGTAAGTGCACTTAAAATCATTTACTTTTTTATTTAATTTATTGGGCTATTCCATGATTTTTGGATATAGTGTCATCAGATGGCACTTTTTGGGGTTGTCACTATAGAGACCATATGACCAATTTAAATCCTGAACTCCCAGTAAAAATCAGCCGATTTAGCTCAACTGTCTTTACCATTTCTTGCAGTTTGACACCGTCCTCCACCACTCTGGTCTGAAAAGCATCCTCGGGGATCAGGTCATCATACGGCACCACACCGGCTCTCCATCCGTGCTGCGCAGCGGTGCTCAACACCTTGCGGGCCAGCGTGGACTTCCCAGCAGCAGGTAACCCGCAGAGGACACACAGACAGGCCGGGGCCCGACGGACAGCTCCGGCTTCCTCCGCTGCCATGCGCTACCAGAGAGCCGCTGTATAACTCAGATTTTTACATGGTGTTGTATCCATGGAGGGTTGCAGGCTGCAGGTGACAGCTAACTTCCGCATCATGCCGCGTAGAAATCAAACATGTGACTTCCGGCTACAATCCTATCAAAATAAAAGCCATAAGAAGCAATGCAAGGCAGGGTAGATGCACAGAAGAGGTGGCAAAATGTCTGCCACCTCTTCTCTGGTCACCAGAGGCCATTTGTTGCTCAGGTCTCTAATATACTAGACTGAGGCTCTGTGAGCTAAATAAATTAGCAGATTATGGTAGTCCAGAGACAGTTTTACATGTGTTTTTAAAATAAATTGTAGGGTTTGTTTCATACTCAACCTGGGGGCCAGAACCCATCAAGACCTCCAAGGAAAAAAACTGATGGGTTAACTGATCGGAAAGGGGTCTCAGGCCAAAAGGGTTTGGAACCACTGATTGAAGGACTATCATACCTTGGGGTTTGTGAATTTTCTCTATGGCCAAGAGCATAAATATTGGTTAAAGTCCTTTGTTCTTTGTACTAGGAGAGCAGTCACACACCAAGCACCCATAATAGACCTCTTTCACAGCAGCCATTTTGACATGAAATAGTAGGCTGAACACCTGCCACCAATGATACTAATTAAGGTTCCGTTCCATTTAGTGTAGCAGAGACTTTCCAGTGAGCCAACATGCACAAAAGCAGCATCCTAACTCTCTTTAACCTGAATGGAACGGGCAAAGAAGTAAGGAAAAAGGAGAATTTCACATCAGGGGCATTTCCTTAATTCTTGTATGTCTATTTCTGACAACTACATAGGCCCAGTTTGTACCTCTCATGTAAAATAATTGTATGAGTGACACAAACTAGAGCGAACACTGACAGTACAGACGTGTTGCTACAGTACCAAGAAACTCACACTGTAATCAAAAAAGTGTCAAATCCATTGCCTGATACATATTTTTATTACAATTCATGAAATTAAAATTCACAAAATATTTTAAATACTTTCAAAATTATACAGAATAGCATAAAATACAAAATATTTGGTGATTTATTAAAAATATTTTATGTGCACATATTTTCAATGAGTGATAAACTGGAATCTCATAAAAACACACATATTCCAATAAATATTTACACCAGGCTCATCCACCACCACTTTACCACAATCGACTATAAAAATGTGCTGGCAACAAGTAACAGTGAGTCTATCATTATTATTACAGTGTTTACACATTGTCTCTTCATACTGCGTTGAGCTGACGTTAACTCCATACATTCACAATACAGTTAAAAAATATTTAATAAACAAAAAGAGAATCAGTTTGGTGGCTGATTGGTTGGGATTGGTCTGGGCACTCCGGGGCCCTGCGTTGGAGCCGGTGGTCGTGCAGGGACAGCGCTTGTTTCTGCATTCCAATAATCGAGTTCTCCATATCTGAAACTGACAGATGTAATTGTAAGATGTAATTCAGTTAAACTAGTTATACAGGTTTGCTTGTGCATTGTGTGAGGGCAATATGTATTCAGTGAAATAAAAAAAAAGAAATGTTAAATCAGTTCATACCCAGAAATGGGAACTGAGGTAGCTGGTGGATATCCAGGCTGGAATTAGAAGAAAGAATAACTTATAATTATGTATAAACAGATAATGAAAAACTAATTTTCCTACTGCAAAGTCAACATTGCACTGCATTCCCCGCCATGATAATTGTTAAGAAAAACTAAAATACTTACCCTCTCTGGGGGCGCCTGGGCTGGAGGCTGGGTTGTGGCTCTTGTCTGAACATTGCTGTTTGACTGACCATTTGCATTTTGAGCATTACGTGACCTGTGAAAGAAAGAAATAACTTCTGAAAACCAATAAACTTTTAGTCAAACTATAAGCACTGCAACATTTAAAATAAAATTAAATATCCATTAATATATTCTTAATGTGCGTTTACTTGAGGCGGCTGGCAAAGTTTCCTTTTAGGCACGGGTCCAGGGAATCTCTCCTGAAGATGTAGAGCAGCACCAGAATGAGAAGGACCAGAACAGGAACCACCAACAGGAAGAAGATCAACAGGCCATTCCGGAGGGAGTAGTCTGAGGTAGAAAACATTACATTACTGCATTAGTTACAACAAACAGTCAACATTTATTCCTACCAGATTACCTGCCATCACATCAGTGGTTTACTGATTTTGCAGTAATTTTTGCTATTAAGTTTTTTTTAACGAAAGGACAGACTGACATGATACATTTTCATTTCATTATTAAAATGATCTAATACTGAGACACATTCATCTAAATGCTGCAGCAACAGATGTACTAAGGAGCCACCTCTACCACACCATGCCAGCAGAGGACAGAATGATTAATATATGAGTAATATGAAGCCCTGATATAGGACTGCTATAGGTTTTAGATTACGGTGTATCTAGAGAATTGCTGATTTCCATATGGTGTCCCCAATTAGAGCTTATGAGTGTGGCAGTAGGTGAACTATGTATAGTAGAGTGCCTTTGACTTTCTGTAGACTTTATCTTGAAAAAAATATATAAACCCACCTATCTGAGCAGGACCACTGTCTATGCTGCCACCTCGCCCTGACCTGTCACAGCGAGGCGGAGCCCACCCGTCTTCGCAGTGGCAGTTCCCTTGGTCATTACATACCTGAAGAAAACATTACAACACCAAAGTTAGACTTGGCCTCATTGGCTGGTAACTGAGTAAAGAAAGTCAAGAAATTGCCATCTTACTCCTCGGCCATTGCAGGTGGTGCGGGCATCACAGTCCAAGTCAGGCAGCAGAACAGAGGCGTTCACACACTGAAAGTCCAGGCAGGTCTGAGAGAGAAGGCTTATAACTTATTAACGCAATTAAAATAAGTCATTGAGACATCAGTTGTACTTTAAAAATGATAGTACTGTCAAGTTTCCTGACTTCAAAGCCTGCTTACCTTTCCTTTATCACAAGGGCTGCCAGGGTTAACATAGGCAGGATCGCGCACATCTGGGCCGAGGTTGAAGTCTGCATTAACACAAGTTGACCCTTGAACTACTTGGATACTAACTTGGGCACCAGGGGGGATTGTGGTGAGGTCTACGTTAGTACACTGCACCTTTCCACACTTGGAATTTCTGTAGTGAAGGTTCAAGAGAATACACCCAGTTCACGCAGTTGTTAACGAGTTCAATGTTGTTAGAAAAAATGTGTATCTACCCTTTAACAGAAAAGAAAGTTGCATCAAATATGTTCTTTAAAATGACCATTGTTGATTATATTTAATTGCAAGGCACTCTGTGATAAAACAAACTACCTCAACCTAGTTTGATATTTGATCAGATCATTATAGGAACATAAGTATACCTTAAATATCTTAAATCTACCACAAACAATTTCAATAAGTGGGCTCTGTGATGACTTTCAATCCTGAGACCTTCAATTTAACATGACTGCTGCTGCTATTTTTCTCAGAATTACCGTACACCCTTTATATACTGTATATATCCACAGTTAAGTTCATATCATTCAGTGATTAAAAAAAACAAGTACTTACGCTACACTACATTTGATAAATACGTTGCTGCTGGTCTGTCCACAGTTTCCAAATAAGTTTCCCCTTGTATTTGCATTCTGGAAACAAATATCATCTGCCTTTGTTGCTTGATCTGCCCAAGGGAGACATAAGATCCAAGATCAAATATTAATGACAAGAGAAGTGAATTCATATCTCTCCAGGTGCCTCCTGGTAGACTTTAGGCTAATGTATTATTGACTGGATTATTCATTGTTATGGTGTTATACAAACAAATTAGTTAGCTGCAGAAGTCTTTGTATCAAGCATTATTAAATGTACCTGGTGCAAAGAGATGTTTGCACTGGTAATCATACGTCTGGCATCGGCCCTCATAGCAGTACGCATCCTGACAGGGCAGGCCGTTCATGAGATAGAAGTCATCGGGACAGAGCGCATTCTTGCCATCACAGTATTCAGGAAGATCACAGATGTTGACAGACTTTCTGCATGGTGTTCCAGAAACTCTGATCTAAAACAAGAAACAAATGACATACAGAAATAGAGAAAGAGCCTACTGTTTGTTTCCCCCATGTCCAAGTTATTGCCTCATTTCACTTCAGTCATAAGCTCCATAACTCTGGCCAACATAATGCTGACCTGACAGTTGTCGCAGCAGTCCCCCTCCGCACAGGCGGACCCGCGTGTAAATTTGCAGGTGGCAGCATCACAGCATTTATTGTTGCATTCCTGTATGAAATGAAAACAGAGAAAAACTTACCACCACGGAACAGTACGTGTGTGCACTCTAGCCTGTAAAGCTGAAAGTTAAATGTGTCTGTACACCCTTTTGCATTTGTGTTACACCAAAAAGTTCTTCTTGATTTACAAAGAAGTCCTGATTTTAACTCTTAACATCATCCATTTGCAAATGTCTGTTTTCATATTCAAAATACTGGTTTGCATCATATCACAAACTTTTTAGCTTCATGGATTGCACATTTCTAAACTGAAATTAAATTACAAAGACATTCTCTACAACCCAACCCCTTACTCTACCTCCGGTTTGCCACAGTCACACTGTTCTCCTTTGTCCAGCCGGCCATTTCCACATTCAACAGTGTCAACCACATCTGATGGGGAGGGCTGGTTTTTCAGACACAAGCCTCCTCCACGGAGGATCAGCGTCTCAAAGTCATCTCCACTGCAGGTGCTGAATTTGGTGGAACCACTGCAGGTTAACGGGAAAGACCATAAATTGAAAGATCCTTTTGGACAGACCTCACATTACTGAACAATCTTTGACTACAGAACAGAGGACATTTTGTGTTGTCAGATTACAAAAAAATACACAATATTATTAAAATAATTGATTGTTGAGAGAGAATTCAACAATCTCACAGCCTGAGGGGATTTCGCAGAAACACTGTTGTAAAAGGCACATAATATACTATGTACTGAATATATTTACCATAGGATTTTAACTAAAGCTTTTTTAATTTCATATCAAGGGGGTAAGAAATATCTTCTGGAAGTTGTGTTACCTTGCAGTGGCTGCCATGATGCAGCTGCCTCCATCACACTGGCAGCGCGTATTGTCATGATTCATGCCCAGGTTATGGCCCATCTCATGGGCCACCACAGTGGAGACATAAGACAGCGTTTGTTTCTCGCTGAACTGTGAAAACACACACAATACTTTCAGTACTAACATTCTCCATAGTTTATATACCTAAATACAAAAATAAATATAAAAAAAACTAAAAACAGCTTTGGCTATACATGAACAACAGTGTGTTTAAGTCAAAGCGAATGAAAGCATTTCACTTTATTACTTACTTATTTATCTACTATTTGAATCAGGATATTGAGGAAGAGATCTGGCTTGAAAGGATATTTCAAAAATGTAAGTTGAGTTACATGAAGAAAACAAGTTTTATTTTCAGGAGGGCAGCAAATGTTCAATTAGATTTTGCGATTAGATTTTGTAAACAGGTATAGTTTTTTAGCTGATCAGGAAGGAAAAATGTATCATTTGTGTCCATTATAAATGTTGAAAACTAAATGTCACTTTTAACATAAATTACCAACCTACCATATTCTTTAAAAGAAATCCTTCTAGTGTGACTTATAATGTGATATTAAAACACTCCCACTCACATCACAAAGAATGTAAGGAAGGAGTTGCCTTGTCATGGTGCTTGATAAAACTGTTCAAGTCTAACCTGTCTGACCACTGGGTTATTCAGAGCATGAGACAATGAGCTGCACTTATACAATGTCTTATGAATAATGCAGACAGTATTAGTTACTGAACAAAAGCTTGTGCTGCCAAACCACAATGGTGTCAGCTGGTGTTAGAAGTTAAAAGGGAGTTGAACTAACCACATTGATTCCTCCAGAGGTTGTTACGGAGCAGACGGTGCCCACGAAGGCCATACCTAACACACCTCCTTCATATGCCGTGGACCGACCACTGAGAAAGAAGTTCATCAAGAGATAAGTCACAAATTTGACTCTATATGTCAGAAAAATCCAGACTCTGTGGCTTCTATCAAACAATCTAATTGGATGCGTCAAATAAGTTAAAAAAATAACCCACATTACTTACACAATGAGTTGACCGACATCATGCCTGATCTTTGGTAACAGAGAAGTCATCCTCCACTTAACAAACCTCCCCAACACATCTCCTGCAAAGCCGTCCACATCGAAGGGATTACTATCCTTGAAAATCTCCAGGCCCACCAGCACTACGCGGATATTCAGCTGCTTGTAATACTGGAATAAAACAGAAAATGAAAGCAGAAGATTAGAAAGTGTAGCAAAGCACTAGGACAAAATAAAACATGAGAATTAAGCATCATTTCTGTTACAAACATCTTAAAATCTCACCCCATCCAGCAGATTAGCCATTTCCACCATTTCATCTCGTACCGCTGTCTCATTTTTATTTTTAACATTGTACTGTAAAAACAATTAACACAGTCAATTTCAAACAGTTATCACAGACTAGTTAGTAATTATGGCAAAGCAAAGGAAAAGTACATTCCGTTTCAAGGCTGATGAGTCATTGGGAACAGTAAAAGTGTTCATCTACTTCTATCTAGTCTAAAATCCACTCTCCCTTACATATTACTGAATGCATCCACAGATAAACACACTCACCCTGAGATTATCGACAACCAGTGCCAACTCCACATAACTGGTTTGAGGCAAGTTGCGCTTCCTCTGTTGAAACAACAAACAGTAACGAAGGAAAGCAGTCATATAAAATCTCATGTTCACACTATAAATATAAGTTCAAGTGAACGTGGTGAGCTTCCTAACCCGCAGCAGAGAGGTCAGCGATTGGCCAGGCTCAAAGGGTTCATGGCTTTGTGCTGATGGTGGAGCCTCATTGACAACCCCACAGGTGACGGGGTCGGACTGAATGTCCGTTAGGCGGTACAGGAGGTGCTCGTTGGTGGCAGACCGCGGCACAGGCTCAAGTCCATAAGTCTCATTTCCAAGGAGGATCACACCCCTGCAGAGATGTAGTGAATAGCAGTTACACACCATAACAGAAATGCTTTCTGTCTGTGCCAAAGGGAGTGGTAATCCCATACCAAGGCATTACAACACATGATGTACTTATTGAGGAAGAGAGGAACAAGAGAATAACCTATTAAACCCAATACACTTCCTTTAATAAGTGCCTTTAATAAAATATGCCTGAGGTAAAGGAAGAGTAATGTGAATGATTTTCATTTAAATAGATGTCTGTGGTCGCGAAAAACACGTAAGGCCCTATCTACAGCCACTGTTTGGTTTGTCTGTTCAGGGCTACTGTAGAAAAAAACAGCTCATTCTAAGGTAACAAAAACACAAAGATTCCTATATTCAGTTGATTATACACTAATGAAAACATAATTCTGAATATTATATTCAATTTCTGCCAATAGATCCCCCCAAATGTTACACACTGGATTAATTAAAATCTTTGACATTGCCACTTTAACATGTGACTAAAATAAGTATCACATCTTAACGAGAATGTCTTCTAATACTGATATACCGTTGTATAAAATGGCAAATATATGCACACGTTTAAAAAAACACAAGTTCAAAACTTCAATAAAGTGACTTTGTTACTCTGGATCATTAATTTGGACAACTAAATATTGTGAAACAATATGATCCTACAGTCACCATACGGTTCCACTGAGAGTCAATAAATGTTCATATTCAACCACAGCTCCAGATCCGTGTATCACTAAAACGTACGAATTAGACAAAACAATAGAGATATTCAAACCTGAGGCCAGAGCATGTGCTGAGCGCTACCAGTGAATTCTCATATCCCTCCACTTCTCCGTGGTAATAGCAATGCACCTGGAAAAAGAGAAGTAAAAACTGAATAGTCAATAGTCAATACTCAATAGTTGACGTTCAAACCAGCCTAACTAACCAGAACAAGCAAGTATCAACCTACGCGTGGTTTCGGATATGATGCCTTGTGGTTACCAGAGGCGTCACTGGAATACTGAACAAAGTTTGGGTGTAGAAAATCTCTGACAAGAAGAGAAAAAAAATACATGGGATAATTCATCTTAAGTATTAACAAGGATTTACAATAATGTCTGTAACTGTACATACCTGTTCTTTTGTAGATGAAGGATGTGCTTTGTGTCGTTTATATTGAGTGCATATGATATTGTCTCGTCTCCATATTTCTGAAATGGGGCAAAACCATTGATAGTATATATATAAAAAAAAAAACAAGAAAGCCTTCTTGTTCTCATATTCAAATTTCATTTAAAAACATAATTTAATCAGGTTTGTTTCCTACCTCTTTTGACTGTTGTGTTCTGTTGAGGCTCCTTGTCCATCTATGGATCACCTGAGGATTTACAATGGAGTACTTGGAGAGTTGTGACGTAAACCCATTGTAAATACCTGGAAGACAGGCGAATACACAGAGAAACTGTAAGTATTGAGAAGGTTAATTATTTCTAACAAATTCAAATAAACTGAATTCAACCACATAAAAAAGGAAAATGATTTAAGTCATATTTAGGCATTTCTTTTTTAGAGTTACTTTACAACTGCTTCCTGTTGTGACCTGTGTAATGTCTGTATCTAAAAAAGCTGTATATACTGTACATAACTCTCTTTTATATTTTTATTATAACTTGTATCCATTCTTTTTTCTATTATTTCTTTCTGTGTATTTTTTTTTTATCTATTGTGTTGTATATGGAGCTCTTGTAGCGAGTCTATCTTATCTTATCTTATTCTTTGATCCAATTATGTCCAAAAAACAAACAAACCAACAAAACAACAAAACAAAGATCATAAGCAGGCTTTTAGACAAAAAGATAAAACTCAATATGCCCAACCATCGTTGTTGGCGTATTTAAAAGAAAAACAAGCTCCTTTTTTCCTGCTCCATCGAAACTCTACCCAACATGTAACCCAAACCAACTGTGCCTCACCTTCGTTGTAAATCCCAGAAACGTAAGACAGCAAGAAAACAGCAAATAAAGTGTATTTTCTGACCATGATCGTAGTAAAAATCTAAGTCTAACTGTGAGAGATTATGATTGTGTCCCCATTAGACCGACGCTATGACTTCTGTTAATGAACAGAAGGTCCGTGTTTTTGCTTCCAGGTGCGTAATGATGGGCGTGGCTATGTACAGGTGAACAAGGAGAATTAAAAAAACAAACAGAAACCAACCATGGAGTGACAAGACAGTAAATATTTGTTGAATGACTTAGTTACCATACAGATAGGTATAACATATGCTTAAACAATACTACTTTCTTCTCGTCTAACTTTCTCAAGTGGGTGAGTTTATGCCCACTGTCATTCCTCCGTTCATTGGCATGGTTAATACATGGGATAATGTCTAAATATATATAAATATATACAGTTAATGGTCTAAACAGACGTATGTTTCAGACGGTGCCTGAATCTGAATGTGTGCCCAACTGGCTAAAATAACCGTTGCAGTTGTGAACGTTGAGAACAGGTTTCGGAGATCTCGCGTTATTTGAGTAGTTGTCGCGTCACACACACCCGGAAGTGTTTTGGCGTTTAGCAGCGTAGCAACGTTCAGTAACAGTAACAAATATCATTGTGCGTTTTAACACCAACAAAGACCAACAAATGTTTTCATGTTGTACTTTAAAAGGTATTTCTAACAGGAAGCTTGCACTTTACATAAAACCCGCTCAAGTATTCCGAGTCAAGCTATTGTTGACAACCCGATGTAGCCCAAAGCTAGTTAGCATGTGAGCTAATAATAAACTATGATTGAACTATGATTGACAGTTGTTTCTGGACAGTGTTGGATAACTACGACCTAAGACAAATATCTGAAGGATATTAAAATACAAAAGAGCTTCTTTCTGCCTCGTTAGATACTTAACTAACCATAGTTAATCAGGCAACGTTACTTAGTTACTTAGCAACACGGACAATTATGTCTTTAAGTTAAGTACCCGTGTGTGCTATTGTGAAATAGATTGTGTCATGTATGGCTGCATACCGTATTTTAAGATTTGCTCACCTGTTGAAGAAAGGACTGCCCAGGAAACAAGTTTGGACAAAACCAAAAAACACCTCATTCGTGGTGTCGGCTCAAGTTGTATTGTGAGTATACATTGTGTGTGTGTCTTCAAATAGCCAAGATGCCAAGACGCACATCTGTCTCAAAATAAAGTTATGTGTTGCTTTCTCCCTCTCTAGAATGACTGCTCTGACAGACTTTGAACCTTTAGCAAAGAGACTCAAGGTTGATATCAAAGCCCCAACGTCCCCTTCATCTTCTGTCAAAGGTAATTTGGTTAAGTACACTTTTTCTGGCAGTGTATATGCTGAACAAGTTATTGGTTTCATTTTACTATATCCCCCCTTTGTAAAACAGTATATTCTCTTTTATTCTTCAGTCTCAATTTTAGGTATTCAGAGCAGAGACAATGAGACAGTAGGTCAAGAAAGGAGGACAAACAACACAGAGACGAAGATGAATATACAGCCAAAGACCGGAGATGTTTTGCGAGGTGTGAAGACGAAGGGTTACCGTCAAAGAATTGGTCCCAAACAGCAACACAAGTTCAGAAATACTCTTGAACGATGGTTGGTTAAGCCCTCAAAAAACCCAAATGCAGCCGAAGTGTGCCAAACCCAAGAGGATGTACAAATGGCCGATGATGGCGACTTTCAAAGCACCTCAGCGCAGTCTCTGCACTGCCAAGATGCTGAAAAACCCGCTCTCTCTGACTCCGATGAAGAAACCCAACCCATGACACCACAAGCCCTGGATGAAGACAATCCTGCGTCGCCGGCTTCCAAGGATTCTGCAGGGAGTGGGCTTATGCAGACGCTGCACAACAATTATGACGGATTAGAAAAACAAGAAATGGAGACATGCTCAGCAAGCACAGAGGAATCTGTCAAACACAATACCAAAATAACAGACTTCTTTTCAGGGACCTCATCGTCGGGGACCTCGTCGTCGGGGGCCTCGTCGTCAGGTTTACCTGTGAAGCGGGGCAGGCCAGATAAGTTTCCAGGCAAACAAGCTGCAGACAATGAATCTAGCGCTGCCCAACCTGATGTCAAATGGCTGGGGACGCCAATCAATGAGCTAAAGAGAATGCCTGAATGTGGCGGACCACTTCCTCCACTGAAGAATGTGCCTGGCCAGCACACTGTGACGATACGGGTTTGAGCAATTCCTTCTTGTTTAAACTATTCACAGCACATTCAGGTGGTTTAGTAATTTAATGTCTTACAGGTTCATGCTGCTGCACTGTGTTTTTTGAAATGTAGAACTTATTGTAGTTTGTTTCTTTACCATTTCTAGACTATAAACTGTAGGGTCAAAATGATTCATTTGAACGTAGGCAATCTGTCACTGAGGACCTGCAACTTTAAGTGACGTAACATTGTGACAATGTCTCTAAGTCGGCTCGTTTCAGCAGTAGTTTGAACAATTTAAATATTTATTGTGGAGCCTTTCAGAATGATTTGTAAAGGCAAGAAGTTAACATGCAACAACATGATCTTTAATATGATCATTATTCTTTGAGTTTCTCACATATGTTCACTGATGTTTTCATTCTCTCCCTTTCACAGACAGACCTTCTTCAGAATGGTAAAGTTCCTGTTCCATATCCTTCTAAGTTCAAGGATACTTGGGATGATGTCCACGTCAAGATGCCCTGTTCTAGTTGGAACCTGTTTCCTGTAAAAGATGAGGTAATGGCCCGAGTGTTCACAGACCTGCCAGTATAAAAAACTATTTTAGGCATTGATTATGTTATTAGGATATATAAATGACACATCCAAATATGTGCTAGACTGCTTATAATTTCACATATTGCGCACCAACGGTTCAATATGGATCGTGTAAACATCGCAGTCACATTATATGCATCGCTGAAGACACATTCAGTCTGTTATTCCTACCAATGAGGATGATAGGATGAACACTTGAATATTTAATACATTTTACAAAGTGTTGTTTAAAAGTGTTAAAATACATCTTTAGGTAAGACTGTCATGTTGTTCCCTACCCAAACAGGCCTGATTCACGTTCACTTTTCATGTCTCAAGTCTGCATGTGTATGAATAAAACACAAATTACTGTATGGAAATCATGATGAACCATGCTTATAAAATTAATTCATGAAATCACTGCAGGGAACGGGCACAACAACACAGTGCTGTTATTCTTTGCATATGAATAATAATAATTATTATAATAATAATAATAAAGTATAATCTAATCTAATCTATATGAAAAGCAAACTGAATTCATGCTACAGAGACCTAACAAAGGTTGTGCTCCCACAGAAAACACGAGAACTGCAGAATAAGAGTCGGTGGGAGATCATCAAGGAAACTTTAAACAAGAAATTTACAAGCCCATATGAGCTAAAGGTAAGTTACACATCTGCATCCATTTATTGGCAAGACCAAATGTATTTCACTTCATAGAATGAGGGGCTCAGTGCACTTTAGTTGTTGTTACTAGACTGTACCATAAGATGGCGTCATGAGCCCAGAAACTGAGAGGCGCACAGTCTCTCAGAATTTGAAAATTTGTGGTTTTAATACATATACTGTATGTAGTGTTTCTAACTAAACAATTACAATACAGATTTATTTTGCATCTCCATTTTATATAATTATATAATTTGTTTGTTACAGGATGCAATATTGAACTACAGTGCCTCAAATGCCAAGAAATGGGACTTCACAGCATTACATTTGTACTGCAGTAAGGTAAAACAGTATAAACATCTGTTATGTTTACTGATCTTTTTATGAATGTCACTGAACCCAGAAGTAGTGAATGGAGTTTCTTTTCTTCTTAAAACCTCTTTGAAAGAGTCATTGAATTAATACTGGCATCCAGACATGTAAACACAGATGGACACACGTTGAAGATGTTAAAGGTTTAGCTGTAGACTAATGAAACATCAACTGTCCAATCATGGCACGTGATCGCCCAACAGAAGGTATCGTAAACCAGTGTCAGTGCTTCTCACAGAGCTCGGGTCAAAGAAAGTGCAGATGGCTCATTAGTTAGTGATTATCTTCAGTTTGTGGAAGATACAGTGATACGGATGTCTCATTTGACACCAGCCTAGATTTAGCTTGGTATGAACAGTATTTAAGTGGCATTGTAAATCAATATCGATGTAGTCACCAAGTCAGGAATGTATGCTGTATAATGAGACTGTCACGTAGAGTGATTGAGAGTCAATATGTTTAAAGTAAATACTTGGTAAAGTGTGGGAATAAAGTTTCATAGGTTTTGTGAAAAGGTTTATTCTGTATTGTTCCAAGGATTTATCAAGCATTATGAGTGTGTATGTGCACATCTTTGCAACATTGGATAAGAAAAAATGTTTTATTATTTTTTTATTTTCTTTATAGGCCAAAGATAAGATAGGCATGGGTTGTATCATTATGGCCAGAGCACTGTTGGTTCATTGGTTGTCTTCTCCAGTCTCATTTGGAGGCCATCCATCATCTGTTGTCTTGATGCGCTCTGCGTCATCCTGTGTAGAGAATCAGGGAGGGCTGTACTTTCTGGCTCATGAAAGGGAATATTCCATTTGGAGAGATGGGCCATGTTGTGACATGAGTGTTTTTATACTAGAATCCGTGAACCTGTAAGATAATAGGCTTTATATCCCTTATCGCACAGGAGCACTCATCCACTCTGTTTTGTATGGCATCATCTAGAATACACCAGCTAAATTTTTTGAATAATATCTCACATCTCAGGAAAAAAAGTACATGTAGAGCTTTTCTCTTGAATGCCAGTATGTCAAATGTGTCATTTTGCACAAGAACAGTAATGGATTTCACACAGGAAAATGTTGCAGGCCTTTAGAGGCAAAGTGGGAGTATAGAAAAATAATATAATGTTTTGCCAAAAGGTCACAGTTAGTAACGTGTCAAAAATGGCTGACATTACATCCCAGAGAATGCTTTACTCCAGCTTTATACCGTTGAATCAATTGTATCCTGTATGTATGTCATCATCAATCATGCAATAATGGGAATTTTATTAGATAAAATCTGAACATGTTAAGAGGCTTTAGCCATAGTGGAGCTTTGCTGCTGCAGCTAGATTGGATTG